TCAACTGGATTCACTGTGCTAAGTGCAGTGATATTGAATGGTGAAAGGATTAGTCAAAGAAGCTTGGCAGTGTAAGGAGAGCCGGATCTGAGTGTCTACTGAGTTTATTCAAGGAAAGAGATATGCATATGTGTCTTAATCCAATACCAGTGCAAAGAAATTCAAGCCATCTCTTGTAATAGATTTTTCAGTGCTGTGAAAGCGAAAATCCTGCAGAAAAAAAGTCAACTTAATTTACGGAAATATATAAAGCAATTGTAAATCATTGTATATTTGGAGTTACTTCCTAGCTGTAACCCACATGGGGATACCTTCAACTCACAATAGTTCATTTAGCCACACCTTTACCTTTGAAAAGGTAAAAAAAAGTGTTAGATATCATTCTCTTTCCTCTCAAACATGACCTTGTTGGCAAAGACTAAGTGTGAATTTGTATATTGTGGACTTTTAAGGACATTGCTCAAAGGTGGCAGATTAACAATTTCATGTCCTATGATTCAGAATATTCTGATTTTAAAATGTTACATTTCACTGACCCTAGGGCACAAACCTATGGACAACCTTAACTGAGATTTAATGAAACGTTCTTTTGTCAGAGAATATGTGCACTGAATTAAAAAAGTAATGTCTTTTTAGAAGACAAACATGGCACCTATTGCAAATAATTGAAGTTGTACCTGCATATAAATGTGTCTGCAACAGAAATTTGGTTAGGTAACCATTGCCATCCTTCCCATTATTCAGATAAAGCTCTCCATAGAGAAATCTCACTACAGCTTTACAATAGAAATAGATTGTTCTTTTAACTTTATGAAGAAAGGAAGATGGGGCGGAGAGCTGTAAAAAGCTATGAGCAGAACTGTGAGTAGATTTCAGATTTTTAGTCATTGCCCAATACTCCTATTGATAAATTTCATAATAATTTATGCTCATCTTTCTATTACATCTGGATATTTACAAGATACTGATGTACAGTAATGGGAAATTTGGAGAATAGTATCTGAAGGGGTGTGTCATAGAAATCACCTTTATTCCAGTGGCATAGATTATATAGACATTTGTTAACAGATTCAGGAAAAATATGCAAGAGGATTAACTTTCAATATATAACCTTTATCTAAATTCCCAAATAACACTAACCCAGCTTTTGCACTACAAAGATCAGATGGAAAAAATATGGGACTCCGCAGTTTGTCCAAAAGACCTCACTTGTAGAATGTTCTTTTTGCTTGAAGTCAAAGGATCTTTGATACAGATATCAGAACAGAACTCTTGGAAGTATTTTACAGTCTCATTGTCTAGATCTTCTATCTCAGAGTCAGCTTTTATCTGTGTTTCAGGAGTTGCCTTTTAATTTTTAAGGTGTTACAAGTGGATTTTTTGCATAAGTCAAAATCTCCAAAAATAGTCAAAAAATACTACCTGAGACCCTAGTAGAACAGTATTTTCCTAAATTGTGGACCTCAGTGTTACAATGCCTCCACCTGAATTTTTTGGTCAAAATACAACAGAATATAGCATGTGAAACCTTGTACTGTGATGGCAGGTGCATTGACGTGCAAGCAGCAAAATAAGCAAGTAACCAAACTAGGTCTTTCACAACACACTTGGCTATCCCTTCATGACATTGCATCATGCATATAAATCTATCAAAGTATCTTCAGGGGAGAAAGCATCTTTATGGAGGCTCTACGACATGTTTCCAGTGGCACTAGCAAACGGGTCATCAGTCATGTCTGATTATATTTAGATGTAAAAACAGGAAAAAAAAGTGCAAAATATTATATTAAGTTTCTCCTAAAATATCAGATGAATTGTACTTCTAGTAATTAAACTGAGCAAAGAACCCAGGGAAAACTATGAAAGTAAGCTTGGGAAACATCCTTACTTTATTTACAATGTTTCTATTTATCCATTATCTGGATTTTTCATATAGATGTATGAAAAACACTGATTTACAGGAACTGCAAGTGATTAACAAGATGCAGGTAGTGCAATACTGAAGGGATAAGTAAGTTTTATGCTGTCAAAGGTTCTGACCTGACAAAAACTCAAAGCTTCTATTACTCTTGCCACTCAAATCCACATGCAACCTTTGTCCAGTTTCTCTTTCATTCCTATCTTGTCAACCCAGTCTCTTGTACTATGTTGATCTAGTATGAACGCTACTGAAATAAGTAGTTACAGACTAAATATTCTAAAATTATTGCAGTAGGTCTACTGTTTGACAATGCGTACATGCTCTAGGAGGCAACACTTCATGGCCCATCAAAGGGAAAATATCATCATATTTCCTTTTTTCTTTTTCAAAACCTAGTCTTTGCAATAAATATCAAAAGTCTTCTTATACATGGGGCATTTGTTGGAAGCATCACTGAAAACTAGTGAAAGATACAAAGAATACAAATAAACTTTTAACTACAGTCAACTTACCAGTCTAATGAAGTTTCTTCTTTATAAACACAGCTTCTAATTTTCCAACCTAAATATATTCATGGTAAATATATAATAATTTGATCTTATGATAATACTATCCTTTAAGATTAATACTTAATAATTCCTTCTTTTTAGCTTTCATTCTTTTTATATATTTATAAAACACAAAAATATTCTTTCAGAGGTATTCTTTTGCTCTTGCAATATCTGCTGTTAATATTGACCCTTATTCTCCACTCATTCTAGTAATTTACAAATTTATGCAGCTCAGCTATCTTGACCATCTAAGGTATCAACTTAGTAGTCAAGAAAATACATCAGTAGTAGAGCCTTTAGTACTCTCTACCTCCACAGAAAAGATCTTTGATTTCTCCTATTAGTTTGCGGTGCTTCCCACCCCTCACCCAGTATAATTTTGTTGACTTGATGACTTATTGACATTCTCATAGTCCTTCCTTTTACTGATGCACCTCATCATGTAACAGAAGTTGCATTATATGTCTACAGATGCATCACCTGGTATTTGCAGAGCTAAATTCCACAAGACCATCAGACAGCTACAAATCCCCTAAGAAGGGGTATTGAGAGGAGGCCTCTGGTTGATCAATCCCACCTTTCCATCTGGGATGCACAACATTCCTGAATGGTTCATCACTCCATGAGGATGGTTTCAGTCTCTTTAATGACAACTGTACTATCAAGTAAACAAGGGTTTAGTTTCCAACACCTTGGGATGAAACTTAATCCAAACTTCATATTGCAGAAATTCAACTTGGACCAAGACATAGTTGGAGAATTATGGAAACTGCTCACACAAACCAACCACTGTAATAACTTTCACTCTCTCTCTGGACAATTAATCACACTTTTCTCTGTACGTAAAGGTAGCCCGGAGCATCCTGCAACATGATGTAGTGCTTTTAAATGCATTTCAAAAGCTTGCGAGCTTAGCTTTTTTATTCCCCAGATTTTTTTTTAAAACAAAATAATCAACTGTTAATTGGAAACCGTCAAGTCATAAACTTTAACAATATTTCCCCTATTTTTATCATGTTGGATTATAATGGCAGACATGCCATCAATATTTCGTTGTTATTAATCCAAGTTCTACTAGCAAGGATCAAGGAATCTTCCAGTTCGAAGTGTAGGGTTCAAACAAAACCATTGGCCACCTCCTTCAATTACTATGATGCACACATTTTGGACAGTCTTGTTTTCTGGTTTGCTCCCTTGCCTCAGGTAAGGGTATTGATTGTAAATGTTGATTCATGAATGACTTAAAGCCATACTCTGAGTTTCTTGAGGGAGTTCTTCAACTGAGAAAAACCTCAGCAAAATGTATTGCTCTATACAGCCCGCTATCCTGCTAATCCTGATTGCCTTGATCATTGCATTCCTCAAATCTTTCCCTACTGTGACATTCCTCTAGATACTAGATACTGTTTTTCTCCAGATACTGTATCTAATGACATCTCTATAGTTTTTCTTCAGACACTGTATCTAATGAAGTCCTTTCCACTCACCAAAGAAAGAGGACGCTACAAGTGTAAATGTCTTCTAACTATCCCAGACCATCTCAATGTAAAACTGATTTAATATTTTCCCTGTAAACTATTTATTATACTACGTAAGCACTTAATGTTTGTCCTGTAAAATGCAATGTTTTCCTATGGGGAAGAAAAAGAAAGAAAGAAAGAGAAAGAGAGAGAGAGAAAGAAAACCAAACCCAGTTTCTGTGAAATTTTGCAATTCCATGTAATCTTCATAAGATTATGGCATTCACCATCTAGAACTATAAACCAGTGAATTACTTTCATGATGGCAGAAGGTTAAATCTTCTATGAGGTACAGTTTATCCTCTGAGATTACACCTGCAGGCTTAAACTGATTGACTGTCTTGTTGGTTTACAGAAATTCTGCTCATCTGCAGTAACTCATTGACATCTAATCACTGCAGCTCGATTCTTTATTCAATCATATGAGCCTAGAGCCTCATATGTGGAAAGAACATAAGGATTTCCTTTCTCTTTTACTTCTATAGTTCTCTGATCTGCTTCTGAGCTCTACACATAATGATTGCAGGGTTACTTGAAAACATACTGCATTCTTGTCTTTGCAGCATTTTTACAGAAAAGTGAGGTTCTGAAAGATAGAAGAAGTATATAAAGGCACATTGCAAAGGGGATCTTGTCACCGTAACATAATATTTCAAATGTTAATCTTTTCACTGTAAAGAAATGTTGTTATAATTATCATAGTTTGTATATTGAGTCTTTTTTGATGCAACAAGAATTGCTTGCTCTGTTTGCAGCAGTTATATGATTTCCTAATTCAAATTTGCAGATTCAAAACAATATAAAAATATATATGAATATATATGTATGCTTATATATGTATGAATGTGTGTATGAGAGTGTCTAACAGAAAAAAACCCCATTGTAACATAAAAACCAGGTAATTATTGTAAATAACATTCTATTGAATATTTCTAGGGAAAAATGAAAAAGCATCACTTGGAATGAAAATAAATCTTCTTATAATATAAATTTTTTATTCATAGAAATGTCATAATAGCCATAACAGTAATACCAGAATGGTAAAAGCAAATTGTATTTAGGAGCAAGTCTGACCTCACAGACTCATTTTTCACTTTCAATTTTGTTAATAATAGTTTTTCAGAAGAACAGAAGAAAAAATTCTTGAATTTATATTGTACTTTATCAAAATCTAGGCAACTGAATATTTCTAAGACAGCTGGTATTTTTTATTGAGACTACCTGTGTGTCCAATTTAGGAAATATGTGACAGAAGCAAAGGTTTTCAAAGCAGGTACTATTCTTTTGGCACGCACAGGCACACAGGCATACACACATACACAGATACACACATACACAAAGATGACAGGCAGAGCTCTGGGCTACATGTTCTTCAGCATAAATGGCTGTTTAACTCAAGACTAGAGCTGTAAACTCCCTTCTGAAGAGAGGTAATGCAAATTATGTTCCTCCTTTGCCCATCCTTTTCCTTGGAAGCAGAAAAGAACACCTATGAACCAGTCTTTGTTCATGGCCATTGTTATGTTGTAGAGATGGAGCAATCTGTCAGGGATAGAAAAAAATTATTATAATTCAATTTTTAAGGATAATTGTCTGTTTAACAAAGGACTAGGGAGAAAACTGTTTTGTTTTGTTTTGTTTGTTTTTTTTCATGGGGATGTTAAGCTAATTTGCATGAAAGAAAGTTGAAGAATGGTAACCATGCATAGGTTACATGGGTGTGAAAAGAAAAGCAGTCTGAACGTATAAGATGAGGAAACACAGCATAAGCTATGCCACCCTTCATTTTATGTTCAGTACAACTGAGTCTTGCTTGACCTTGGTATGTCCAATCTAATGAAATCTTATAAATCTTTCTTAATAAGTTATGTGCCAACTCTCAGTTAATTTGTTCTTCTAACCAGAACTAAATTATTACCTCCTCCTCAACCATTTACCACATTTTTCGGTATTCAGTAACATTGTACATTTGTAAGATACATAGGTTACTTTCCATGCTTTCAGCATGACTTTGGCTGCACCCAGACATGATATAGCCTCTTGACAAAGTATTGAACACTGGGAGATTGTGGCTAATCAGCCTGAAAGGGATCATACAGAAGCCTGTAATTTTTCAAATATGTGGAAAGTTTTCTGAACTCATCTGCCCTTTGTACATGCCAGGTGATTGTCTTAAACAATAATATCTCTGTGCAGATGCCTCTCTTCATATAAATGAGTAAATACTCTTGGTTGAGGCAAGGAAACTAACTGTTCTGAAACTACAGTTTGCTTCTGTAGAGGATTCTAGTAAGGCTGAAATCTCTTCTTCAGTTACTATTTATATATATATGTATTTGGAAAAATTAATTGCAATAGGAGACATGGACATGACTTTCTGATTGTACAGCTGTCCCATGTTTGGGGTATTAACTTGAGAGAATAGTAGGTTAAAAAAAAAAAAAGTAAAGTTTAAAAAATATTAGTAAATGGAGCATGAACAGGTCTCATTTCAGAAAAAGAAAATATTTTCATGGGGGAATATCTGGAACGTATGCTATTTTGAATTATTTTTGATTGATTTGAACTCAATAAACTATTCTCTCAGAAGGATACTCTTCTGTTCGACTTACTGCCAAGAAATTTAGTTCTGAGTTCCTAACAGTTCACTAACTTCTTGGAAGAGAGAAACATCAACACTCCAGTGTTGATGTCATATGTATATACTGACACTGTACCAATAGTATCACAAAAAAAGTTACATGCTGTAATAACCACAACACAGAGAAGTCCAGAAAAGAACAATATTAAATATGGCAGGTTTTTACTGACAAAAGTCACAACCAATTGTGCTGTGGAAGGCATTTTGTCTCATTAGAAAGTAAAAATGCAAAACATTTGTTAAGATAAAAGATAATATTTCTAACGTAATAAAACGCAAATATAACAGTTGCCATAAAAAGAGGGACAGTCCCAAGAGTGAAATTACTATATATTTCATATTTCTAATTCTAACACAAACATAACTTCTGTAAACTACAAATCACTATACATTTTCCACAGTTCATACTAGATATAGATGATAATAATGGCTTAATATAAAATGAGTTTTACATTCACTGCTTATAAATAAAAAGGATAATGTTCACTAAATCTACTGAATAGTCTTCTATATCAAAATCTGCACTTAGTCCTGATACTTTTGTTTTTCTCCTTTAACATAAGACTGTGCTTTCACTGGACCTGATCAAACTCCTGCATTTTTAAGTTGAAATTATCCTACTAAAAGTAGAAGGTTCATGTTTCCAACCTTACTGCCTTGTGCACAAATATACAATAAAACATATATTTATGTACCTCATTTCACATCAACTTCAATGCTAAGCTAAAAATGGCAAGAAGTAAAAACTTGTGATAAGGGTACATGGAAAAAAATGCTTTTCTGTCCAAATGTTGTGAGTTGATATTTATAACTGGCAAATAGCTGAAAGTGAAATACCTCACAGTGTTTTTATTAGGAATATGCAAACTGTTAATACAAAAATGTTCCAGACTATTAAGCATGCGAAAGCCAACAACAATTTTATTAAATCATCCCAGAAAATGACAGAAAGGTTATGCAGTGTCTGAAGGACAAATCTGATGTGCTTAAAATGGGTTAGTAGTGTCAAGAACAAACTGTGCTATAAATTGATTTCTCAGGTAACAATAAAACTGGAAATACTACAACCTTAAACTCATAAGATCATGTAGCAAAATCCTATGCACATATGCAGTGCGATATTTTCGCTACAATCTTCACAACTAAATCTTTTCACTCAGATTTAAGCACTCTGATTTTTTCAAAGGTAGGAAACTGAAAAACTATTTCATTAACTCATGACCTGTTAGACATTATTACTACTTCATGTCTTCCCATTCCATGCAAATCATCATATTCTACTGAAAATGTCTTTTCCCTTGTAGTTATTAACATCTCTTGAAACAACAGAAGCTTTGAAATAAGCATACATTGTGGAGAGGTAACCAGCGGATACAATACGCAAACTCTCTTCTCTCCATTGCTAGTGCAAATGAGTTCTAGAAGTAGTTTTGCAGCCCCTACTGATTTTTTTTTCCCAGGTTTTTAATGTATAAACTACTAACTAGTTGATTTCTTGTCTGTTAAAAGTTTGTATAATAAAATAATGCCCAACAGTTGGTGACAAGTTAGCCATCTGAGAAGTAAAGTGTAAACTAATCAACCTTTCATCATTATAGAGGATTTCTTCGTGATAGTGTTGGAGACCAAAGAGGAGGCAGAAATATATATGGCAGAAATACCAGTAGCACATTACTGTAGGTGAGTTGGACACGTCAAACCACCTTTGGAATTGATCGATGGAACTAGACGCCTCAAGGATAATTCGTTGGAACAATTTTGGATTACTATGTTAAGGTAAGCTGAAACTTTTCTGTAGTGTCTATTTTCCTCTGTTGATTAGACAGCTGGATAGCTAAGACTTTAGTGCCTAGTTTTCAAACATTTAATTTAGGAAAAACCACATAAAATCCTAAAGAGGGTCATGGAATAGACTAAATTATTTGTCTTTTTGATAAAGAAATGTGACAAGCACATGGTCTAGAAATTATATATCTGAAGGGAAATAATTGGAATTTGAAACACCAAAAATCTTTATTTTATTTTTCACTTATCCTAAGCAATTTTTTACCTCATCATTCTCCATGTTTTTTACAGGTTTGGAGGATTTTATGTGTTTGCGTTTTCAGAAATTAATGAAATATTTACTATTTGCAAATACCACTTTTACAAATTGGGATATTTATATTTTCTTCTTTGCTCTACTCAAACTGAGATTGTCAGAGAATTAACGACAAGGCCTCCCAAGATCTATTTTCAAGTGGAAACAGTTACACTGATGCATGTCACTGTATCTATAGCTTAGACTGGTTTTCTTTCTACCTGCATTTATGTACAACTATCAGTGTCGAGTTTGATCTGTAGTTTTTAACATTCATTCACCTGCGTCATTCTGCAGGTGCTCAGAATAAGCTTCAGAGGCATTTTGTCTGAGTTTTTTTCTTTTTACATGATATTCCTCTGAGTTTTTAGAGTGCAGAAATAATTCACAAACAGAAAGAAAAAATGGTTATGGAATTGCTTATTCAAATTCAGCACTATGGAAACAATTAGTTCATAGATTTGTCTAGCCAAGGACCCCTTCCTTGGTATTTTTATTTCTTTAATTATCCATCTGGTATAATAATTTATATTATTACAAGCTCCATTACCATGTTAAAAATTTACTAACAAAAAACTGTATCATAAAATATACTGCTTAGTATGAAGCTTTGCATTCACCACTTTTATAATATATAATTTATAATACATTGCTAATAGATATTGTTAACTTGTTAATCAGAAAAACTAGACCCTCTTTTTATAAATTACTGTTTCTGTAGTTTTCAAAATTTATTTCATAAATGTGAGTTCATTTGTTACTGAACCTGTACATTTTTTCATTTAAGATGAAATTCAAATTTAAATTAAAAAATAATGAGATTCTAGAAGATAGTGGTAAATTTATTATCCAAGAGGAGAAAGATAAAAACTTTGTAGAATGTAGTTTTCTTACCCAGGAAACAAATAAAAGCTTTGCCTTAAACTTCTGAAGAGGGCCACTGCTTTTTTTACTGAGAGTCATCCATTCAAATGTTCTCCTTGGGTATGACCATAAACAACCCTGTGATGTGTCATAGATAGTTCAGGTGATATATTAGCTATCAAATGAATACAGTGAGTATACACATCAATAGGAAAAATGCCAGTAATTTTACCACGATTACTTGCAAATTCAGAATGAGACACATCATCAAGGAAAATATCTGCAGTCGGATATTCATTCCCAGTTACTTGGAAATGTGGCAGTTACTTAAATAAAACTCTGGGACAAATTCAGCTACAGCATAACTAGTCCACAGCATAATTAGTTTTGTTTACACAATTACACAAAATAACAATTTCTCTTCATTGGTTTTTCTCAAAAATGGGATTTCTGCTCTTAAATGCAGAATGAGACCAGTGTTTTAATTTCTGCTTTGAATCAGACAGAACCAGAGTCTGAATGTGGCTCTCTGCCACTCAGAGAAACATCTCTCTGATGTTCAGCTGTTTCTTTCCTTTTTATTAATCTGCTTTTTCTCTCACCTCTAAAAAATGATTCACACTTCTGACAAAAGATTCACAGTCTCACCAACACCTTGAATATATATGTTGTGTGAAGAGTATTCTTTTCTTGATGAAGAGGATTAATGCAAAGCAAATGTCAGCACCAAGTCTTACAGCAATCCCTTCCAGTCCTTGTGAGTGCATTTTGGCCTTCTTACTTCACTCACAACTATATCTGTATCTTTCATCTGAACATCTTCCTTCTCTTTAAAGAGGCAAGGACAGAGGAAGGTTTTCCCAGCTTTAGTGGCAAAAAATACCACCTGTGGCGAACGCCTGATTACAGTACAAACTAGTCTCTCTTGCTGTCTGAAAATATCACATAAGCCCAGTAAAAAAGAAAAAACCCCACAACTTCGGCAGCAAGTTGTTTAGTTTCAAGATGAATTTCTCTTATATAAGAGTAAAAGGTGGTTCTATAGTCATGTAGGGTCAATATTTGTCTCCATTGAATGAAGTGGAGAACTGCACAAGGGTGAGGAAATTAATATAAATTATGTTTCCTCAGGATTTAGGGTCTCCAAGGCAGCAACTCACAAGACAGTAACACAAAATCCGTGTTTTCAATAAATCACTTGACTGGGTGGCTAAGGTTGATCATCATCATCTTATCTGTGAATTTCAGAGATCTTCTTGAGCAAGACACTACACTTAAGTCAAGTTTATTGGGATGTGTGCTTGTAATTTGCTGTTGGAAGAAGTACAGCGTCTTTTCTCCTACTCACGAAGGAGACCTGGATTTCTCAGGTTCATCAGTATATGATTGCAGTCCTTTGGGCTATATTTTGAAAGAGGTGTCCTTATGGTACAGAGCCTTTATGATAGATTTGTTCTCAGATCTTCATCTTTAGATGGTACTGCAGAGCATAGAGCTGTCATTCAAGCTTTTCCCACTGTCATCTTTGCTAGTAAATAATGTAGTTAATTCAGTACCTCTGCATCTTTATATGGCTGTCAATGCACTAAAAAATAACAGGCTAGTGCTCCTGCCAGAAGTGAGAGAGAGTTATAGTGTGGGGATAGTCAAAGGAATAAAATGTGTTAAAATTATATCATATCCCTCCTTCCCACCTTGGGTTCTTGATTTCTCAGCAAACACTTCTCACAGATTTGCTTATCCCCTTGAAAAATTAGAAATAATATTTCTCAGAGTCACACCATAAAGCCATGCCCATGAGATTTTAAAAACAGCGGGGTGATGATTTACTTTTCAATGACAAAAGGCTTGATCAGCACTTCTTCACTTCAGGTCATTATTCTGTGAAGACCTCTCACACTAACTCTCCAAAATCGTACTGGAACTGAAAGGTAAAAGCACTGTGTGGAGAATGATCTGCCAGTTCAACCCTTTACAGATCCACATTTCTACTGTAGTCAATGCATATGGTTGAGGGTGTAGTCTCAGCAATAAATTTGTCTTATTGAAATAAATAGTATAAGCATGCAACTGATGATCAGCTACAATGTTTTTAAAAGTGATTTAACATTCCTTTAAACAAATAACAAACAAAACCAACAGCATGGAGTGTTGTGAGGAAAATTATATGAAAAGAGATTTTTTCTCAAGAAGCAACAACAGTGTTCCACATTTTAATAACACTATTACGACTGAACTGTAATATAATTATAATTAAGTGCAATTAACACAATAGAATTATTTTATTTTTATTTTGTATCACATTATTTGTTTCATAAGTTTGCCAGCTGCAATGTATCTTGTCATTTTGGTTGCTGTTAATGAATTCACTACAACAATTTTCAACCAAAGATACACAAATTATAGTAACGTTAAGAATAAGAATAATTTGAAAATCTACAAAATCATCACTTAGAATAAAGTGATAATATAAAAATCCATAAAGGAGCAAGTATGTCATATTTCCAGTTTATATTTTGGATGGCCCTGCATAGTTCTTATTTTATTATACTTTATGGACATACTGTCTTAAGATGTTTCAAAGATTTAATAATACTAATACTTAATAATACTAATACTTAAAAATACTTTAATAATTTTTAAGACTAATTGATTTGGATACCAGGGTTGGCCAAAGATGTATAATTTCCTTTTTAAAAATCAAGATGTCTTTCTGTTTTACTGACATATCTCCAGACTAATCTATTACTTGGATCTTCTATTTAAAACAAACAACTGAATAAAATGTGATACCATAGGAGTGAAGTCAATAGTCCTTCCAAAGATCTATTGTGGGACTAGGATGAAGCTGTCATTGCAATATGTTGTAGTTATGAAAGTCCTGTTTAAGACTCCTCTTTACCCATTTCTATAGTTATGGTTTTATGACACATTCATAGTTCTTTCTTTATAACATATTCATAGTTCCTCTGTGATCTGGTTTCCTCTTTTACTTTCCATTTCTGCTCTGGTGTCCCTGCATCATTTCCCTTCTAACAGAATCCACTAAACATGTATGTAGCAGAGGGTAAAAGCAGAGTTTACGTCAGCTGTGAAGGGGAAAAACAATAATTTTGTGCTACCTTTGTCCAATCCTTGTTATTGAAACCAGCCTGATGCCTGATGTTATCTGTTTCTGTCTCCTTGCCTACTCATGTTCAAACATTTTTTTTAGATTAGGGGAAAATGACCCCAGCAGTAAAACCTTATCTCATTTGTCTATGTCTACAGTGCTAAGTAAAATAGGACTAGAGAGCAAGCTCAAATCCTGAACTCAACTATTCATACTGCTTAATAATTAACATACTCTCTGGCGTGGTTTTCACCTGTACCATCTAACACTCTCCTGGAAAATGCATGGCATTGCAAGAACCAAGAGCCACTCTCCCACCCAGAGCTTTCTCTACCCTGCTATCGCTTACTAACCTATTACCAACTCCTGCTGGAAAGCAAGTCTTGCACTTTGATTACACCCATAAGCCCTGTCCATGTCAACCCAGAACCTACAACAAATGCCCTCAGTAACATGGTCTGAAAACAACATTCTAGGCTGCAACATTCTTTCATTATTTCAAACACATTAACTGAAAAATAAAGAAAATTACAAGACATTACTGTATCTCTGGATCAAAGTAGACTCTCCCAGGCACAGTCCCAAGGCCAATAATATTATGTGGCTGTGGCCAGTCTGTGTCAGCTGAAGTGTGCTCCCAGTTTACAAGTACAGGTGTCACCAGTTTTTGCAGGGTGAAGATGCAGGTCAATGCTACTGGTGATACAGAAAGTCATTGAATTTGTCAAGGTTTAGCAATTTATGGGTCACACATTCTGAGCATGGAAAAAAATAAAGAGTTTATAGGAATGGTTTGACCAATCAGGGTTTTTTGGTTGGTTTGTTTGTTTTTTGTTTAGTTTGGGTTTTTGTTTGTTTGGGTTTTTTTTCTTGGTTTGTTTTGGTTCTTGGGGGGGGGTTTGGGGGGGGCTGGTTGTTTTTTATTTTTTTGTTCTACTCTAAAGAGACTGCATTGAAAATTTTGGACTCGTGTTAAATCATTTCCTCAGGATAAACATGTAAACAAACAGGGCTCAACTTTTTTAAGGCACATCTGATGCTACCTACCCTTAGAATGCAGCTCACTATATAAATACATTGCAGAGAATTACTTCTTTCCCTTCAACTCCAACAAGCTTAAATCCATAGTTTTCATATCGCAAGCAAATTCCTTCACAATAAGGCTGTTGCTTAGGTTGGGGCTGACAGTGATACTCAAAGCACTCAGCTAGAAATATTAGTTTCAGATGGGCTCCATATTGGGTGAATGACGTTGTTGTTACCATTATTATTTTGTTGCAATCCTAAACTAAGTTTAATGTACATAAATTATCTAGGGAGTGCTGATTAAACCCATGTATATTGCCTTCCATCAGCATGCACCCTAGTAATCTCATCTCTTTTCCAAGCCATGGTTTCTGAAGGAAGCAGTTGTAGCTTGCCATAGATTGAACACTCTGTTGACAGTTCCTGAGACCATCCAACAAGAAGTTACTAGATTGGATCCTTTAGGTTTCTAAATCATAATGGAGTTCAGATTTAGAGCAGGCAATGCTTTTCAAGACAAAATAATTCTGCAATCGTATATGTTCCTACAAAGCTTTAGATAGACAAAGAGGGGCTAACTACATACAGACATCTCCAGGTTCAGAAGTAGCAGAAGAGTATATGTTTTCTGAGATATAGATATCTTGATCTGTTTCAGGTATGGAAAGAAGAGAACAAAAAATTTAATCTAAGTGCATCATGGAAAATCACTTTTAAAGGTCTTAGCGAAAGACATCGCTCCATCAAAATAATATAAAGGCTACTATCTGAATTAGAATAGCTGCAGGGAATAGGGAATTCAAGTGCTGAAGGAGTTAATTAGATTCTCTGTGTAGGAAGTTGAAGGGAAAAAAAAGTGCTGGGAGAGAATTTGCCTGGCCTCTGCAGATGCAGTAAAAGATTATCAACTTTGGAGGGAACAACTACTTGTTTTTGGCATAATTTTTATGACGTGCTTCAAAAATAGTTCTGTGAATGACTCAACCCAAAACTATTGTTAAATCAGTGGTTGCCTACTGTTGTGAATGGTCTTAATCAAGAACCAGGGTAAACTCCATAAATTAATGAAAATGCTTATACTTCTTAGTGGATATATTTAACGACATAGTGCAGTGAAGGAAATATTTCACTCATAAATTTACATCATGAATTCTTTGAGTGAGTAAGTTTTATCCTTTCTTTAGTCAATACATAGCTAATATGTCATTAATTACAGGGAGCAACTTGAAGCTTTAAAAAAAAAAGAAGTATCTTCAAAAAGGTAAGTCAGAGCTTAATTAAAAAACATTGTCAAAATAAGGTAAAGATATATATGCAAATAAGGAGAGTGAACAGAAACCTTGGATGTGGTTGATAGTGTACCCCATTTCAGTAGAAAAAGATCATGACATCAGATAAGAGAAGCTCTAAAATGCATCCATTTGAGGTGAGGAACTTCAGGAGGAAAATATTTTCTGTGAAGAAAAGTTTATTTTAATATAGAAGTCCAAATCTTAAAAAGTATTGTAACAACATAGTCAGCAATAGCAGAAGGTTGAATTTGATTGCCTTTGAAATCCTGCTTCTGAGATCTATAAAAAACAAACCTTGTATAACACTGTGCATGCACACTTCTCAAAAAAATTTTAGGTTCTCAGCAAGACACTTCAATGACTTCCCTAGAAACTCTGAAACTGCATAATCAAGAATTATTTTAGTTTAAACAAATATAATTTACATCATTCATGTTTCTTCTTTCAAAAACCACCTTATATAACAGTATAAGGTTATATACTGTTATATAACCTGTGACCTAATTTTCTCTTACTAATTTGGATTTAATTCTATCTACAAACTTTTAAACTATCAGGTTATGCAAACTCATGTATTCTTAATTTTCTGTATGTGTGTATGTGAAGGTGGGACAGAGAGAAAGAAGATTTTAAGGAGGTTCTAACATGGCATGAAATAGGATGGTTTGTAATTCTGATTGACGTACCTTTGTTCAGTCTATAAAATACACAGAGATACATGACAAAGAAAACAAAAGCTGTCAAAAATAGTCAAGGAAGTCATTAAATGCCATAAGCAGAGGAATAGAGGGACTGCTGTGTTTGCAAATTGCCTTTGTTCATACAGTCATGTTCCAAATTTGCAATGCATCAGCAATTTAATTTTTTTTCCTTAATCTTCATTTATGCTTTTCAATTCCTTAAGTCAAACAATTTTATTTTGTAACTCCAACACTTGGTGCATTTGACAAACTAGATAGTTCTTCTCCCCTTTCCTGTAACAGCAATCATTTAGTATGATGCAAAATGAAATGTAGCCCCATATCAAACACCCGTATTGTGCTAAGTGTTCCTAATGGTATCTTTTAATTCTGCTCCATCTTCATTCATTGAAGGACTGCAGCTAAGGCTGGTGTCAGATGAGGAGAGATGAGTAGAGATGATGGTGATGTTGATGATGATTTGACAAAGCATTAATTTCTCCAAAAATGTATTTTCAATCACTTCCACATTATGTGAGCACAAGCCAAATGTGCTCATTACCAGAATTCTGAAAATTTCATTACATACATACAAACATAGAACTATCATTATGCCAGTTTAATCTAGTGCTCCTGACATCCATACAAAATTTGACAGTCTGTGATTAAATTCCCAGCTTTCTCCCAGATCCTAGGTTAGCATCCTAACATCAGAGTACAAAGAAGAAATGGGAGAGCATGTTTACCTTTTACTGTGCTGTTTTGTATTAGTGCTTTTAAATCCAGTGGTTCTTGAACAGTTTTCTGAACCCTGTACTATCAAGCTATTGCTCTCTCAGAGTCAGTGATGATGTCTTACATAAAATGAAGTTTCCCCAACATATGGATATCCTACCTATAAATTTCCCAGTCTTCACATGCTCCACATCCCACCTCTTATGGTGCTTCTCTGAACTCTTTCTGATTTTTCTCTCTCTGATTGAGGGTAGGAATCTGAAACAGTTTATTTCATAGGTTAAATTAATACTTTCTCCCAAGGCTATGGATATTCTGACAGTAACCCAGAGAAGAGAGAAGATAAGACTTCTCTTACTTTTGTTAGAATTGGCCTCTTTTCAAAACCATTCACAGCTTGGAATTCAGGATTAAAGAAGTTTAGGAGTTAATTCCCCTAAGCTGAACTGAAAACTAAACCTAAGATGCACAGTGTAGGTGTTCTAAAACTCCAACAGAAAGAAACACGTGGCTTTCTCCAGCAGCTTTGTCTGGATCTGGTCCATTTTCTTCTTTTCTTATCTGTCTTCCAAGAAAATTGTTTATACAGGGCCACAAAATACTTTGATCTCAAACTAAAAAAAAACCCAGAAATTATTTCTATCACTTAATTTAGAAGGTAAATTGAAAAATCAATTCTTTGCACAGAAGAATTGAACATAGTCTCATTGACATAAATGCACTGAAGTACACAAGTGAATTGAAAGCTATATTCCTCTATTATTGCTGGGATTTGTCACAAGTAATTTTAGAATCATATATTGATCTTTCATTATTAAGATTTAGAAAAGCACTCATTTGCTAATCTGAGCACTTCTGAGTTCATTCACAATAAAAATAATTACCATAATATCATCAAAACGAAATACTCAGAAAACCACCAATAAATTACCCCAAATACTATGCCAATATAAAGAGTTCCCCATTGGAACTTCTGTTTTGGTTTGGGTTCTTTTTGGATGGGGAGCCGTTTGGGGCTTTTTTAAACCTTTTTAAACCACTCTATCTTCACTCTTTTTGTTCAGGATAGTGACAGAAATGTATGACAAAAGTACTAAAGAAACACAGTTCTTTAAGATGAAAAATTAACTGTATAGTCATATATGGATAACAAAACATGAGCGTTGGTTTATAAACAACAGTCTCATTGTGCTCACTGAAAACATGACTGTAATTTTTCTGACTTTCTCTCGTTCAAAAACTCTCACTGAGAGATGAATGGAAATTGAATTCATTATATATACATCCAATCTGCTCCCCTTTGAGTGTCATGCCTTATTTTATTTGATAATTCTAAAGGATCACTACAAGATGACTGGTAGCTAGGATTTTGAATGAATATTACTTCTTTTACTGTATTTTTGTAACTACGGTTAGCTAAGTATTTGATGAGGGCTGTAAGAAACAGAGAATATAGCTCTCATATGGGGAAGAAAGAACTTACCAAACACAGTATTTCCTATCATAGCAGAAAATAGCTTAGCATCGAGTATTTCTATCTGTGCCAAGTTTGAACACACTTGGCAGAGATATTTCACACAGGAGAAAAATATCTTCTCCATGAATGTCATAGATCAGCTGCCAGCTACTGGCAGGTCTATGGTAGCTGCATTGATGGCCTGGGCTCATTAGCCATAGCTTTGGACTTGTCAGTAAATAACTCCCGTTTCTGCAGAGCTTTATGGGTGTTCAAGCCGTCTGGAGGACGATTCATTGTAACTTATACAAAACACGAGTTCAGCAAAATTGTCACATTTTTTCACTTCTATTGGATAATACATCCTTATTACAGGATCTTTTCAAAGTATACTTTTGAAATGGAGCACATTAGCAACTTTCAAATGGAGTACTTTAGCAACCTGTGGTTTAAGTATAGTGAACAACTGACCAACAGAGTTTTAAGTCCTTATGTTGAGGTGCATATGTTGATGGGCAGGCAGAACCAGGTTGAAATGTCTTTTACTACATCTAAAATAAAATCAGTGAAGACATCACAATCCACATCTTCTCCATCCTTGTCATTGTTCCGTGTTGAAGATTGTAGGAGAAAGTCTGTTCACATGTGCAACTCAATGGCTTCTTCAACTTAAGTAATATTATGCTTACCTAGGGCAGAAGTATCAGCAAAAATTCTGTAATAAGTCATTGTATATAGGATACAAACAGAGAGGATATAATGAACTATTGAGCAGTCAAAAATCAGCTAAAGGCAGTATGATAAATTTGTTTTGAGTCCACTAACCACTTTTTCCATGAAAAAGGATGGCAATATGCAAACAAGGGAAAAGTTAGGAATTAAGTAATTTCATTTATCTTTAGATTTTTAAATTGCAGCTGTTTATACTTGTACTAACACCTTGGCTTATCTTCGTAGCCAATAGCAAGAAATGGTTCCAGAACACAATTTCACTGACACCTTTTAGAACACTTCGATGAAATTGTGTCCTTCAGATGCCTGCTTCTAAACACTGAGAATAAGGGTAGCCTAGATGCTTAGGTCTGGTGTAGCTACCACATTGCAAAAGTTTCTTTTGGTGTTATATATCTCATGTAAAGTAACTGAAATTCAAAACATGACTGGCAAAGGCTCCTCCCTGCAATTGCACTCTTTAATGTGGAGTGTTTGGAATCTTGCTGACCTTCCTGCACACAGAGAACACTATAAGCCCTTTGGAAGGGACTGCTGTATTTCACTTTGTCTGTCACCAGAACTCATCACTGTTGGAAAGATAAAGGGTAGGAACAGTGGCTTGCAGTCATAGATAACAGGTCATCTTACCCATTCCTTTGCCCTCAGCCAAGAGCAGGTATAGCTTCTATCAGATACATCAAACCATATTTTTGCACAAAAGTTGTTAAATGATTTTATGAATTATTACTGAGGAAAAAAATTAACCATACTAGGAAACCTAACTCTGTGATATTCAGCTACCTCAGATTTTTGAATAGGTAGGCCCTTGAGAATAAAAATCCTGACAAAGCTGTATTTAAATGCTTTGACCATTCTAACTACAGTAATTGTAAAATGTTCCTACATTCCATTTTATGGCTGTGATGATTTTATATAAAACCTATATCCATTGTTCCACTGATTTGTATGGGACAGAAATATCTGTAGATCTAGTTAATCCACATATGCAGGCTAATGGGAGCTACAGGGTAAGTCTGCCCTTAATTCACTGACTTCCTTCAAAGATCCAGGTCTCTGTGCAGCCTATTAATCTACTAATGAGTCAAATCATTTCTGAAGTATGCAGGCATCACTTCCACACTTGCTAGGATTTGTTTGCATCTTTCTGGTTTTTTTCAATGTCAAAGTGCTATCCAGAGAATCAAGCTAGTCTATTTTAAGAGGTGCTTTCACAGAAAAGATGCCCTTATCAGGAAAGATTTTTTTGCTTAATAAGAAAAAATATACACAGTATATAGTGCAGACGAGTTAAAATTTAATGAAAAAAAAATCTATTGAAATAAAAAAAAAAGAGTTTGTTTCATATCTAGTACCACAGTTCTACAACAGATTTTCATGTTGGAAAATTGAAAAGGTTTAGAGGACTGGTTCTGACATCATCTATATCCATAGCTAATCCTGAGTACTTCCTACAGAGAATAATGGGGAGGGTTGCAGACAACCTACAGGTTCTCTGCATATATCGTTCTGTACTGCATCTCTTTTCTTCCTTTTTGAGCTGTTTAATTGCTTGGTTTTCAATTGTCAGGCCTTTGCATCAGTCTGCAACTATTCCGTAAATTATTAATATGCTTTATAAATAGAATAGGAAAAATAATCTTTTCATCCAGTGGAGATGCACACAGCTTATACATTATATCTGAAAATGCACTTTCAGAGAGAAACGGGGCTTTCAAACTTTTTGTTTGTTCAAAGAACAATTAAAGTACACAAGACATTGTATACCATCATGAAGAGTGGGCTAGTTGGGATACTAGAAACGGTATACATGGGTTCAGAGATCATAATTACCAATCGAAGAAGGAAAATCTGGATTATCTTTGCATAGACTGAAATGTGCCTGTGAAGTCATGGCCTCTCTTTAATGACTCAGTATATGATGTATTTGAGGGCAAAGATTGTTTATGATGTACCTAATGTAAACAATTTTTAGAATTAAATATCTCAAAAGCTAATATTTTTTAAATACTTTGGTTATGAGAAATTCTATTTGAAAACTTGCACAAGAAGCTTCAAGGACTTTGTTTCCAAGTAGGTGTTGTAATTCTTGTCCGAGTATGTAAGGATCTTATATAGCTTGTTGGTTCTATATTAGAGCAGCTAATATCTTAAGTCCTCCTCCTTTTGGCCTCATCCTCATCTGTTCAGGCACGCTGGCTGGCTGCCACTGCTCTGCAGCTGTCTAGGCTCTGTCTCTGTAGCTGGGTCAGTAGCCACCCTGTGTAACCTTAGTTTGACCATACTTTTAATGGTGTCCTTTGCAATTGCTTTCTGATCTTATCTGATGGTTGGATTCAAACCTGTTCTGTGGTATATTAGCTGCTGATCTTCAGATTAACCCAGTGCTATGAGAAGCAAATATTTCTAGGATAAGGGATAGATGATTTCCTTTCCCCCGGTAGACAGAATCACTGTAAAAAAAACCAAAAAAACTATGTTTACAGCAAGTATTTTATTCACATGGAACAGGTAAATAAGACACTTGGACACCAAATTCAGAATAACCTTCTGCATCCACAAATGCAGTCTCCCATTATCACAGGCTAGCTATTCAAATAATCTTGTTAATATCTTAAATGTATTGAATAAGCCCAAGATTTCCAAGAACTGACATCATTACAGTGATAGTCATTTTCAGAAAAGGCATATGAAGATATCCAAGATTGCTGTTAATTGGCCAAATATGTGTTACCAGCTTAGAGTACAGAGTTGTANCAAATGACAATTTTACATAATCCTAATTTATCTTTGGGAGAAACTCAAGAAAATTCTTTTCACTATTTTTGTCAGGAATCTAATGATCATAGTATAGTATTTTTCCAGTTTCTGGGAATTTCATCCTGTAGAGAACTGCAAGACAGAAACTGACTACATTTCACACGATGCCATATTTTTTCTCTGTATTCAGATGGAGACTAGAGAACAACCCACCTCACTCCGAAACATACGCAAAGCAGTTTGTCAGCTGACAAGGCACTGATAGGGTGCACAGATTGCACTGACTGTTGTCCAGAACAAGAGTTTATACATATAGCTAACACTTGAGCCCTTCCATATAGGTGTCTGAGGCATTTTAATCTCCACTAAAGCCTCACCCTAGACCACAATAAATTTTAGCAGAATTCAAGCCATTTGACAAGAAGTGAATATTTCAATACCAAGTCAGTATTGGACTTGTTCAAAGATATTACTGACAATGAGACAATGACTGGCAATAAAATGGAAAAGAAATTATCATTACTGAATCTGCAGAAAAAAACCTCAACAGAAGCTCCATCAGGCCTAATTGTTACAGAATAAGAACGTCACCAAAAAGTAAGAAGACATATGTGAACAGGTGCAAACACAAAGCTGTTATGCTATGTGTTTGTTGGGGAAAATAGGGTTTGGATTAGCAGTCTGAGACCTTCCTCCCCAAAAAGTTGACTTCTGCTTCCTCGTAATTCACTTTAGAACCACCCCCAAAACATAAACATTTCACTACAGCTGAAATATTGTATAATACCTTTACCTTGCAAAACTACATTTTGGACCTCATCAGTAAAGAAAGTAAATACATGATATACAGATGATTTTTACAGTTCTGAAGCATGCAGAACACTAGTATTCCAACCATACTTTTATTTCTTAGGTTTTACCCACTTTGTGAAAATGTGACTATCCCAGAAGAGAGCTGCAAAGTAAACCATGATTTTAATAAGACATAAAGGCATGAAGTGAAAGCTCTTCATGTATGATTTTGATCATATAGTCCAGTATTTTCAACACAATGAATAACAAATTAAGTATTGAAGTTTAGTTCAATATGCTCATGGTATTCAAGATGTTCATTATATTCTGTAAACCAGCTGATGAGTTGGGCTTTCATGTTACCTTGAGTGCAGAATGTGATCCTCTCTGAGAGTATACACGCTGCCATTTAATGTTTCTGCAAACCCATCTACTCTTATTCAGACTATTATTGCTGCAGGATGAGTCATATGTAGTTCCTTAGGCAGCCCTACTTTCATACAAGCAGTGGTTTAAGTGCGCCCATGAGGAGTTCCTTAAGAGGGAAGCCTTTTTCTTTGCCCTGATGGTAAAGCCAATATCTTGGGGAACAGTCAAGCATGACGTTTGTCTGAACAGTTAATCCAGGTCATGTACCTACAAAGAACAGACACCTTCATTTCCTGAGATTTAGTGCACTGAATAAATTTTTGAGGACAACCAGATAATGAAGGATGTCTCCTTTTACATACAATTAGAGACCTCGACCAGAAAGAAATGCTAAGACCTTCCTCTGTTGAGACGTCCTATAGTAGTACCTAAATCTCAGAGAGTTACATAGCCTGAGCTGAACTATTTATTCTCCACTTTTCCTGTTGAATCTGGATCCCAACACAGAAAAAGACTGAAATATTCCAAGGATTCATAAGAGAGAGAAAAAAGTGAAATAGATCTGCTTCTATCCTAGTTATAAGGATGCTTCCCTGAGAGTGATGCTTTCTTAGTTCTGGCTTTATATACTGTCCTAGGTATTATTTGGACTGTTTATAACAACATGTTGTCAACATCTTCTTAGATTACAATTATTGATATACTGGACTATAATATAATAAATATTTAGGCAAATTCTGAAATTTTATCTAAAAAGCAATTTTTTTTTGCTATTTTATTTCATCTTCTTTTAAAAGCAAATAAAAATATGTACATCAGAAAGCAAATTCTCCTGCTACCTAAGAAGTTTTGTAATCTAATGAAATTAGGCATGTGTTATAACACAATGGTAATTTACAGTTGCACAGTTGCATCGAAACTGAGAAACTGATAGATTGTCCTGAAGTCTATCACCAGGATTATAATGGAAAGACAAATTAGGCCTCAAAATAGCAAATGGTAATTTTAAACTTTTGATGCATTTTTAAGCTTTAAAACTTTGATCTTTTTTTGTTTTAGCAGTCACAGAATGAGATGTGAAAAATATCCTCAACAATCACTACTTAGAAGCAGAATTTACAGAAGTACACAAGTAATTAATGTCCAGTATCATAGTAAAACAAATATTAAAACAATACATAAAAAATAAACACATGTACATCCATTACTTTTTAAGAATTACATAGACTGCTCAAATGACTCATATTATTTCTGCAACAAGCAACATGGACACATGTAAATTTTGTTAATGGATTTTTTGAATCTAATATGTTGCTTTCTTAGCTAGTACTGTAACTGTAGCAACTAACACTCTAGAAATATTTGATGCATGTGTTTTGCTTTATGCTCTTCCAGTGTAAATGCACAGAATTATTTATAATTCTTGTAGACATTTTTAAATGTGTCTTGCAGAAAATTTTTAAAAAGTATCTTTTAAAGCAAAAAGCAGCAGAAGTCTTTCTTTGGTTGGTTGGTTGGTTTTTGTTTTTTTGTTGTTCTGTTCACCTCCACAAGAATTAATATTACATTGTCATCAGCTATTTCCTGTGGTCCACCTGAGTTGTTTAACAAAATAAAGACATGTCAGCAGAACAATTCAAACACTTCTCTGGTAGAAAAATGCTACTTTCTTTTTGGCAATATGCCAAAGATGACTTCTCTGTGCCCACTCTCACAAAAATATCTCCCTGTGCCATCTCCCTACCACCAATATAGTTCTACAAGATCTCAGAACCCAGCAAGAAGAGTTACCAAATGGTACCAGTTTCCTTGCACGTTCATGCAAGATTTCACACTTTTCTGCAGACAGGAATTTGAGAATCATAAGAGTGACTTGAAGAGAAAGATTGCTTTTAAGACTTTTAAAATGGAGCGACTACGATCAACACATTCTTTTACTTGTAGGCATGAGCCTTCCCCTCTATTCTCTGTGCTCATGGCAGAGAAAATAGAATAGTTCCATTATCTTAATATAAATAGAAATCACATGAAAAAGTAATCACTTGCCCCACAGAGGACTACGGTCAGTATGGCAGGAATACTATGTAATGGTTGCATGGCAGATAAAGCAGCATGGAGGGTAAGAAGGGGGTGGAACTACTTTTCTATTTTGGCAACTGTAATTTAGCAGAGGGCCATGGTGCTCCTAGGATTTTGATCACCTGTCTTTCAGCAGTATGATCCTTCTTCATTCTAGTGCAATACTGATTTGTATAACTGAATATGTCAAACCACATTTCCAACAACTTGACTACTACTTCAGTCATGATAGGTATGAACTGCCACTGTATTTTCAGTAGTATTAGACACAACCTGATCTGGGAGTTGATTTCATCAGTGACCTACCTGAGTTGTTGTCTCCCTTCTAGAAGAGAGACTTATTATCTCTCCCAGGTTTCCAGATTGGTTTTCAATTATCTATTTATCTTCTACACTTCTACTGACTACCTGCTTCAGCTGATAACTGCCAGCTGCCTCAAATTCTCTGTGAGGCTTGATGGAGATCTTTCACAGTCGAGTGAAAGTCCTGTAGTTACAATGTGCTGTGTTCTCTGTCACCGTGAGCTGTAAAAGAGAAGAATTTTATTGGGCCTAGAATAGACGTGGTAGATGGTTATAGAGAAAACTGACCTCAACAGAAAGACATACTTTGGCTATATATTGTTTTTAGAATTCTACACTCTAATGATAGTTAGAGGAAATCATAGAATCATAGAATCAGCCCTGTTAGAAAAGACCTCTGAGATCATCAAGTCCAACCCTTGATCCAACACCACCGCAGTTACTAGACCATGGCACAAAGTGCCATATCCAGTCTCATCTTAAAAACCTCCAGGGATGGAGAATTCACCACCTCCCTGGGCAGCCCATTCCAATGTCTGGTTACTCTCTCTGTAAAAAATTTCTTCCTAATATCCAACCTAAACCTCTCCTCCCACAGCTCAAGATCGTGCCTCTTGTCCTACTGCTGGTTGCCTGGGAGAAGAGACAGGCCCACCTGGCTACAACCTCCTTTCAGGGAGTTGTAGAGTGATGAGATCTCCCTTGAGCCTCCTCTTCTCCAGGCTAAACAACCCCAGCTCCCTCAGCCTCTCCTCAGAGGACTTGTGCTCGAGTCCATTCATCAGCCTCATTGCTCTTCTCTGGACCTGCTCCACCACTTTGACATTCTTCCTGAACTGAGGGGCCCAGAACTGGACACAGTACTCCAGGTGTGGCCTCATCAGGGCTGAGTACAGGGGAAGAATCACTTCCCTGGAACTGTTGGCCACACTGTTCCTGATCCAGGCCAGGATGCCATTGGCCTTCCTGGCCACCTGGGCACACTGCTGGTTCATGTTCAGCTTCCTGTCAATCCAAACTCCCAGGTCCCTTTCCACCTGGCTGCTCTCCAGCCTGTAGCAGGCAGGGGTTGTTGTGGCTAGAGTGCTTGGCCTTATTGAACCTCATCCCGTTGGAATCAGACCATCTCTCCTGCTTGTTCAGGTCCCTGTGAAGAGCCCTCCTGCCTTCTAGCAGATCAACACTTCCCCCCAGCTTGGGGGGGGGCGGGATTTCAGCACTAGTAGCTTTTCTATGAAAGACTTTTCATCAGATTTCATCATAATTTACACATTTTTAATCCTGTAATTGTGGGCCTGCCTAGAAGAGTTTGGCCACAGGCATTGGTACCCAAGTTTTCTTTGCTTGCATGCCCAAGAGTCACATCTTAGCATTTGTTCTTTCCTCCAACTGGTTTAGTGGGCCCCTTGTGGGTCTTAGTGGGCCCCTCAGTGGACCCCAAAGCCTGTAGTGCAACCTGCTGCCCGGACAGATACTGTGCCTGTGAGGATGCTGGCACAGGCTCCTTTCATACACTTGCGTAAGAGATGACCAATACTGCTACCTAAATTATTGTAACTGTGACTTACACAAGCTGCCCTGTCAGTCACCATGTTTGTTTCTAAAAACGTCCCTGGACTCAGATATGTAACTCAAGTATTACTTAGTTTATGCAATGTCACAAAAATTATTCCAAACTGTTCAGTTTGTTTCAGGAAGAACAGTGTTTGCTGTCTCTACCAGTGAACTACTTACTGCTCCTTATGAGTACAGTGCCAGAATCTGCCCAGAGACTGTAGAGACCTGGCTGCTTTACAAACACGTGACAAAGTATTCTCTCCTGAATCTGAAAAACTTGCCCTGGAAACAGACAATACATAAATTATAACAATAACATCCTAAAGAATGAAGGAATGATAAAATGTTACATTACTGGTATCTACAAGTTTAATGATTATAGTTTAAAACATAGAATAATTAATAACACTTCTCACATAAAAGGAAACAGATTCATAAGAAAAAGAGCCAAAGAAACCTGATTTCTGTTAACTTGTGCTTCAGATGGCAGTCCTCTGTGGATGGATTCTTGAATGTGTAATGGGCATTGCCATTCATGTTGCCACTTTTTTGAAGGGTAACATGCTCCTTTCCAGATTATTTTTCTAAACATTTTGTGGCTGGTGCTAGCTAAGGGATTCAAACGTTATTAATGGAAAATAAACAGACAAAAATAAACTGCACAAGTTCAAGTCTTTCCTTCCTTCACTAGCAGCTCAGCAAACTAGAATATCCCCAAGTTCTCTCTCCTCTTATCCATACACAGGCAGCCTCAGTTCCTTTACATGCCTGTAAAGATCCTATTCATAAAGCTCTCACTAACAAAGTGCATGCAATAAAGTTTTTTTTTTAAATATATACTATGATAATCACATTTCCTTTTGTACACTTTGCAACACAATATCAATGACCACAATTTTTCCAGCCTCCTTACACTACTTTAAGTATTGTACATAATGTGCAACCTTTATGCATAATAGGCATGATGGTAAAGGTTTTAATAATGCAATTATATGATTATGTTGATCTCTTTCACTACAGGATTTTAGCCTTAAGGACAGAATTTCTGGAGAATGTAGCGGCTCTGGGTGCCGCGGGGCGGGCAGGTGGGCGGGGAGGGCTCACGCCTGGCTCCAGGTGGCGCGGGGGCCCGGCCCTGCCCGCCCGGCCGCAGCAGCGCGCTACAGCGCGGTACATCCCGTCCCGTCTCGTCCCACCCCACCTCCCGCTGGCGCTGGCTCCATCCCCTTCTCCACGGGCCGGGCGCCGCGCCCCCGCCGGCCCCGCGGAGCCGGGTTGGGCAGCCCGAGAGGCGTCTCCTCCGCAGCCCCCGCCCCCCCGCGCCGGTGCTGAAGCGTCTCGGCCGCTCCCCGGCAGCACTCCCGGGACAGGGGCGCCCCGTCGGCCCCACAGCAGCACCCAGGCCTCCCTCCCTGCCACCCGGCCCGGGCTCTCCCGCTGCCAAGGGCACCTCATGGAAAATAAATAAATTAATTCCCCCACTCGCACCCGCGGCAGGGAGAGGAGCCGGCGGCGGCCGCGAGATTAGATCCAGCCCGAGCTAGAGACCAGGTAACGTAACCTACCCGCCAGGAGGGAGGAGGAGGAGGACGAGCAGCGAGGCCGCTGAGGTCGCCCCCACTGGGGAGGGCTCCGGGGGACGGAGAAGGGGCTGCCGCAGCCGCGGCGCGCCGCCGTGGCCCCGGCAGGCTGCGAGGGGCGGCTGCCCCGCGCTGTGCGCGCCGCACTGTCAGTCACACACACACGAGCCGCCGCCCACGCAGGGATGGACGGATGGATGGATGGATAGACGGACGGACCCCGCGTGGGGCGCAGCCGCCGCCCTCGGTACCAAAGCAGCCACCGCAGGGAGACGCCGCACACCCGCCGTGCCCCGCTGCCCCGCGGGCGGCCGGCTCTGACAGCGGGGCAAGGAGGGAGGCGGGCGGCGGGGCCGGGCCGGGGCCGCAGCTCTGGGGGGAGCAAGGCGCGATCCCTCCCCCGCGCCGCTGCGCGCATCCCCGCGGGGCGGAGAGCACGGTGCCGGGGCCGCCTTTCGCCGCATCCCCGCGCCCTTCGGCAGCGCCCACCCCGAGCGGAGCCGTGGTCCGGGGTCCCTCCGCCCCGGGGAGCTCCGCTGGGAAATATGGGCGGGGAGCAGCAAAAAACGTGCTGCCGCATTTGCCGTCATCAGAGACGGGCCTGCAAGAAGCTCTGTGGTCGAGGTGACCTTGGAGGAAGTGGATCTGGATGGAGCTACTGTTGCTCCATGCAACTGCAGAGCTGGTTTCCCTACTCTGGGCTGCTCTGAGCCCCACAACTCTAGCATTATTATCTCGAAACACTGCTGGCTTTAGTTAATGGTTTGTACAGAGCTCCTGGTGTAACTAGTACCAGAGCCAGGAAAATACTCCATCATTCTCTTTACTTGATCTCTGCTAGCACACAGTCCTTGAAGGGAATGGTCTGAAGATTCTCCGTGGTGAGGAGCAATTGTCCCAGGTTCATTCTTGCTGAAGTGGCCACTAAAAGGCAATGAGTTTTAGAAAAGACTGAGAAGTTACCCTGTTCATATTCCAGAGACCAGAGTGTCCCCAGGTGTGCCTAGGACAACACGTTACCTGCAGTCTTGCAGGGTCACAGAACTGGCACAGGTTCTTCACTGCTTTTCCAGTGAGATGAATAGGATAACAAAACAAAACAGAGTAACATTTGCAAATCTCTGGACTTTCAGGTGCCATCCTACTCTTTCAGAAAAGAGTTTTACTGAAAGTGTTATTGAAAGGTGTTTTGGGAAAAAGAGAGAAACTGAAGGAAGCTGATGCCTCATGAAGATGTCCCTTCTTCTTTGGTTGGTCTCCATAATAATCACTCCTGTTTCCATAGTGAATTCCATCTGTGACTCTCAAGTTACTAATCAAATAGTAATGAAATAGGTGCTTGCAGATTCCATTGGAGGATGTTCTGCATATTCTTTTATGTACCAGTATTAAATATAGGAATAATGCACAAGTGATTCTCTTCTTATTTTTAAATCAACTCTCGCCTTTCTCCTTCCATTATTGTCTGCTAACTCTGAATATTGTACTTGAGCATGAGTGCTGAATATCTACTCCTTCTACATGGTGGAAAAAATTCAGAGAAGAGATTATACTCCAGATGTTTCTATTATTTGTGCAATTTATTACAGAGCTGTAACTCCATGTATCTGTAAGGGCCCAGCTAGCTTAGTTTGCAACACAGTGTTTACAATGTAAGTGTCTTCAGTGCAAAACAGCCGATCATTTTGAATAGGCAGAGGGAGGCTGGGTATTAATGAATTTTCTTTTATGGCAGTTCTAAATAATTTAGGTTAATGAAGACTGCCTTATATTATTTATATGATGGAGATGTGGAATAGCTTAAATACTAACTGTGGCCTTCGTGGAAGGTCTTCATGAATGGTGGAAAACCAAATTAGCACGGGTAGACAAACTCTTCAGATGGTGTAGTGATACACTAATCTGAACAGGTATTTTACATGTAAAGGAGGAGACTTTGAAATATTACAAAGGGAAATTAAAAAAAAAAACCAAAAACAAACAACCCCGCAATGTAGTTAAATATTGAGACTCTGCAGCTGCAGTAAAAAGTGAAGGAATTCTGTTTCAGCAATTTCCACTGTAAATGAATGCATCATTAATAGTATATTAAAAAAGTCTCCTTAACTTAATTCCATCTGTCACTTCTGTGTAGTATATATAGGACTTAAGCTCACTCAGCTCTTACTATGGCAAAATCCTCATTTTAGAATCCAAGTTTTATGGA